ACTGCACTTCTCCTCAGTGAATATATAATTACTGCATGAGGTGGACAAAGTATAAAGAACTAACAAGTTGTCAGGAAATTCTTGTTCAGTGATTTAAAGTTTTGATGGTGGATTTATTTAAGTTTCTCCTCCACTAAGGGGAATTATGATTAGTAAAAGACATTTATCAGAATAATAAAACAGCCTTATTATAGTCCTAGACGGGTGGCCTTATTTTTCCATAAAAAAAAAAGGTTTTATTTATTTGCTAGCTCCTCATCAGTGGATGATTGTTTATTATGGTAACAGGAGTTTGTATCAGCAGAGGATGACCCTGCTTGGTCACGTTGATTGGTAATTTCCCTCAAACTGCCATGCGAAAAAAACAAAAACAAACAGAAAACGCCTTTGTTTCCTTTGCTTTTACACAATTTTTATGGCCACTTGCTTTTCTCACACCAAGATCTTTTGAACTGAAACCAAACGTTCTGACCCTTGGCCTCGGCCAGAGGAAAGGTATTCAAGACGTAACGTGTTGTCAAAACAACCAGTCTGTGCCGTATTTAAACCCCAGGCGGCTTTGCCCTGATTTTAACACTTTCAGAAACTGGATCCTGTGTTCTTTGAAGCGCAGCACGTAAATTATTACGACAAAGTCCCATTTCTCCTTTTTCATGCTTTCTGCACTCCAGAGCTTGACTAGTAATAACATTTGCTAGCTCCTCATCACCTCACCTCAAAAACACAGAAGTTACGTCCAAATATATGTTCAGTTTTGAGTTTTCTGATGACAAAAGTAAATACATTTACTTATCGTTGCCCATTTTTCTTGTTAGCAATGCAGCCATTCATCAATCTGATGTTTTTTTTATGTCATTATAAATCTTATGCATCTAGATATATATATATATATATATATATATATATATATATATATATATATATATATATATATATTATATATATATATATATAAATAACTAAAGCTATGGAGCAGCTGTACAGCATGTCCCCTGCTTGCATTTGTTTTATAGTCACAACAAAAGCAAAACCGACTGGAAAACCTCCATTATCAGATATGATGGGAACCCAGACAAGCCAGACGAAAGCAACCAAAGTCTGTTATGAAGCAGATATGAAATGCAAACTAAAGAGGCTTTGTGCGTAAACTCTTTCCAGCTATTATCATGGTAACAGCGAACTGGAAAGGTTGCCATCCATTGGTCAATGAAAACAGAAACTGGAAGTGTTTTGACATCACAAATGGCTCCTCGTTTACAACTGATACTGAACATCTTCATACAGCCTGGAAAACGTTATGTATCTTGGTGATGCACAATATAGAGGGATTAAAAGTGAAATAAACCTAAAACCTTTGCCAAATGTGATTTTTTTTTTTCATTTTTACTTTCATTAAACGGAGCATATTCATAACAAATGTAATCGCAGATCCAAGTTCAAGAAAGATGCAGTAAATTCAACCAAACCACACAGATGGGTTTACATTCAAATACAATTTGATCGTAGTTGTAATGAGGTCACATTCGGTTTATTATGCCAGCTGGAATAAACAAAAGGGAAACCCGGTCAACTGCAGTGAGTCACCAGCTCTGCAGCAACACCTCCTGCTTATTCAAGCTTCCTTGAGTTTATTCTGGAACCGAATAAACTCCTGAAACTGCAAATACAGCAAAAACTTTAGGTTGGATGTGCAACAACCAGAACTTTCTCTGGTCAAAACTTATTTCAGTTTTTCTATGAAGTCTGAGCTGTGTTGTTTTTCTAAGCGTTGCTGGATATAAATGAGAAAAATCTTCTGCAGGTCATTTGATGGAAGTTTTAGTTATGAATCCGATACAAAATCCTATTTAGCCCTAGATTTAAAAAACCCCAGATTTTTCAACAAATCTGCAATACTCACTCAACGTTCACACAAAACATGCAGATTTTTTTCTGATTTTTACTGCAATTGTTTCTCAAAATTACCCTAAATCTTTGGTTTTCAGTTACTGCTGCCTCAGCCGTCCTTGACGAAAAAAGTCACGTCATACCTCAGCACAAATATAAAAATTCTTCACAAATATTCCTAAAAGGAGCGCCACAAAATCTGTGATGCTGATTGTTGAAAAAAAAAATCCTGGATGGACGGATCCGTGCGGAAAGGCGTTCAATATTTTTCTCATTTTAAGAAACACATACTTCTCAGATATTTATTGATATTTTAACAGTTGTATTGGCTTTATTAATACATCCTGGCACAACTGGCCCTTTAAGAGCTGCAGGTTTTTGAGGTGACCCAAAATGAAAATGAGTTTCAATGAAGGGTCCTACTTTTCAAGCTACACATCGTGGTCTTTTCTAAAACTCTTTCATTAACAATAATAATAATAATAATAATAATAATAACCTGTTGGATAGCATGTTTATGTTTGTTTCACACCACTCACCTTTTTGAAGAAAGCCTCATTGTCCTTGTCATCTTTCGCTGAAGATGTTCCAGGTTTGGTCATCAGAGCTTTGCTTTCGTCGTCGTCGTCTGAAGCGTCGGCATTCTGCAGGAGTATAGAAACAGATCCAGAGAGACATGAGCCCCCTGCTACAGTTCACTGACTCCGTTTCCCTGCAGCCCTGCCCAGTCTGCCTCCCGGCCTCACGCGTCCTAACGGAAGCTCTCAGCACAGTGCCGCCCAGCTCCCCAAAAATACTCAAAAACAGCCATTAAAACACAACGCCATAACCCGAGCTGTCGTTTTAATAAAAGCTGCCACCACAGACTGGAGCTTAGAGTCGCTCCTCGGCCACACCATTAACTTTTCTTTTTAGCAGGTTAGCTCGCTAATGTTAGCAGCTAACGTTGAAACTCACGCCTCCTAGTTCTTTTGTTCGGTCCCGCATTTTTCCGAGAGAAGTTCACAATCCGACGTCGAAACCCGCTGCAACTCGACGCCGAAGAGAAACAATAGCTGCTCCCGATGATGAAACTCGAAATATTTCCTCTTCTGTCATTCAACAAGTAAATTCCAGTGGCACACTTCTTCTTCTGCGGTCAACACAGTAGCCCCCCGACTCTTGGCCGCCACCGTGTGGCGGCTGCTGTCATCAGCTAAAACACAGTGTTGCGGTCCATGTGAAACGCTTTTCACACCACTTTAAGTTTTAATCCTTTTGACACTTTACTGTACCCGTGGTCACACTAGCCAAAAAGAGGCTTTTGGTTAGAGTAAAATTATTATGATAGCAGAATAACAGTAGAGTAGAATAGAAAAGAATGGCTTTAAATATAATTTTATGTTCAATGAGAGTAAAAGCAAATCTACTAGGACAGATATTTATGTGGAATATATAGTTATATAAAATAGAGTAATAAAATACAAACAAAAATAAAATAAATAAATATACTATCTCCATATATTCATTCCTCATGATGGATTACATGCAGATCAAAATACACACACGTGTACTCTATTATTTAGTAATGAATGCACTGGATTTTATTTAGGAGTAGGCTATCAAAGTATCAGTATCAGTTATTCAAAACATAGGAATATATCAGACGGGCGCTCCTCACTCGTTTAAATCACAACGTAACCTCGAGGTGGCGCTGTTTACCTGCATGGTTTCACACAATAGCTTTTTTTTTCCAATCACGTTTTTTTTGTTCATACAAAAAAACATAACTATGTTGTTTTAGACTTAAGGCACCATACAAAAATAGAAAATATTACTGATATTTATTATTACTTTATTATCATTATTATTATTATTTATTTTTATTTATTTATTTTTTTTTTTTACCAAAAACAACGTTTTGAAGTGAAAAAGAAATAATGTGTAGAGAATATGAGGTGACAGTGGATAGGTAAAAGTAATAAATGTGCAAATTAGTTGGAGGCACAATCAGCACCTTTGCATAGCTTTTGGCCATAAGACTGGGGGGACATGGACATTTTCTGAGGAGCTTTAGAAGTTAGTCAGAGAAAGAAAAGTTTGTTGATCCTGATCACAGATTACTGCTCCTGTGGTCCCAGATTAACTGCATAACATAAATAATGTTCATGTTGTGTTTTGCTACATGTTCCCTACTGAAAGGTTTTAAAAATGGAAGAACACAACATACTTATCACCACTCAGCTCAGTCATCTAGATATAATATTTTTTAGCTGACACTTCTTTTATTTAGATATAATATATATTTGTCAATATTTTGTAGTGTCTCTAAATACTGATTATTTAGAATAAGGAGATAAGGAGGTGAAAATAAGTGGCTTCTGTTTATTTTGTCACTTTTGCCGCTTATGCTGAAATGTAAAGACAGGATAACCGACCTGGTACCTGAGAACAACTCTCCTTTTTGTCTTTTGTGATTTTGAAGAGCATGCAGCACTATGAAAAAAATGTATTTGTGCCACACCAGTATTTTTTGGTATTTCTTTCTTTTTTTTTTCTTTTTTTTGCAATGATTTGATTAATTAATGGAAAACTAAACTATCCAAACAAACCAAGCCTTACATGAAAAGGTAACTGCCTCCTAAACCTAGTAACTGCTTGTGGATCCATGGCTGCAACAGCTGCCATCAAGGATTTGCATGGACTATTTACAATATTTGCTTTCTATGTTGTGAACATGAACACTGAACCTAACCGGGGCAGGTGAGGCAAGTGAGGCCTGCGGTGCCTCACGTATTGAACTAGACTCTATTGTGACTCATTAATGTTCACTTAGTGTTAACTCAGAAGGCTATCCACTCTTTAGCATATTTAGATTAAGGCTCTCTGTGTAGTTTGCAGGCGTAGTCATGGGTTTGCAACCTTTTCCAGACTGATAGACGTCAGGCTTTTGTGTCGTCACAAAACTGACTGGATTCATTGGACTTTATGCATAAAAATAATCCAAATAAAACAGAATAGAATGCAATAGAAGTAGCTTTTAATGGGGGAAATGAAAGATATGCAGGTTCACACAAACCTTCCAAGTGTTAAATATATATAAAAACAACATCAACAATTATAATAATACACTGTTGTACTTCATAGCAAAAATACAGTGCAGATTTGTACATGATCCAAGGGAAATTATGTTCATTTATTAAATAAACATCATATACATAATGTGCATGTGTACTGAACATCAAAAAGTCAGCAGACTGATACAGCCTTTAATGCTTTTCATGCCAAACTCTGACCCACAGCAGTGTGTGCATTCAATTGATTATTATTTTTTATTATTATTATTATTTTAGAACAGAACTACGTTTCCCATGATGCACCATCGGGGAGCGTCGGGCTGTCAACGCCGGGGGGAGAGGAATCGGTTCAGCATCTCCGGAGCTGCGGAGCGACACGCAGGACAGAAACACGATGTACGCGAACACGATGAGCTGGAACTAACTCACCCACTGTCCGCCGCGTTGGTCCGCCGCGATGCCCGAACCGGATATCTGACGAACCGAACCTCCTCGTCTGCCTCGGATCAGCGCGGACTTTTAATTCATCAATGAGATCTGCGGAGAGGCTCTGGCGCTCGGTGGAAACGCAGAAAAACGCAAGATGAAGAAGCAGTTCAACCGCATGAGACAGCTCGCCAACCAGACGGTGGGCAGGTAAGAGCCGGACGAAATGGCACGAGCTGTGGGTTCATCACGCGTCCTCGCCGCGTCCAGTGGGCTCTTGGAGATCTGTCACCAAAGTGTTTTTCTCGGTGCCGCAACATTTGGCTCAGTCCGCACAAGGCGCTAACTGTCCGTGTGAGCGCCATAATGTGCGGCTGTGTGATTGATTGAGCTCGGCGGGGAGGAGCGAACCCGCACACTGATGAGGAGGGAGCCGACATGGTACCCAAGAAGGTGGGATGCTGCTGCTGCTGCTGCTGCTGCCCACCGACCAATGACAGGCAGGCGCAGAGCGGCTGCTGGCAGAGCCTCCGAGCGCAATACAGCAAATGGGTTTTAATCAGGGAATAATTTCCCCGGTGATTAGTAATAGTGAAGTGATGGATAGTAAGAGGTGGAAGGGTCAAACGTTCAGGCTGGAGGGTAGCATCCTCAGGTGACAGAGATCTGTTTCTTCAGGTTGTACTCATTATCCAAGTATATCCAAAATAATAAACTGGACCCGGCCACACAAATCTGAAAACACTGTTCTCCATTTGACCCGGGAGGCTGAAGTCAGGCCTGATCATGACTTTTCTGTTGAGTTTGTGACATTTTCCACTTCATAGTCAATGTCAACTCTTAAGTACTTTACAAGACGAAAAGGCCCATTTCATATCTAGTTATGTGAATCCTGTTACATAGATTCATAAAGTCAGATTGGACCATGTTGAATTTGAATATACTTATATGAATGCATCCATTTGTTTTTGCATTTCTGTGAACTACTTCAATGTGTTTTATAAAGTGCTAAAATAAGTTTGTGACACTACTTGGTAAAGTTGCATGTGTGCGGACTGTTTCTATGATTGTGGAGCAATCTCTCATCCTCAGTAAGCATGTGGCAACAGGGGGAAGGTACAACTCCGCTTCCCCTTCTCCACTTCCAAGGAAAGTTGAAATACCCATTACAGGCCAGTAGGTGGCAGTAATGCTGACATAAATTAAATGCCAAATTATGTCAATAAACAAAATAACAGTCTGAGCCTGACCGATGAAAAACACAAAAGGGAACACCGCCCGAATTCGGAAAGTCGGTCTCCAAGCAAACCGAAATTGAATATTTAAAATTAATAACAGCTGGCCCAATGAAAACGTAACGTCTTGTCCTCTTTGCTTGCCTGTGGTCACAATGTCATGCCTGATTATTGCGAATAGTTATTGAATTTTATTTCCATTTGTAGCAAGTACCACCAAAATTAGCCCGCTGGTTTTCCGACTCGCTAGTAGAACGAGCTCGACTGGATCTTGACGCCATTCCCAGATCTGAACTTTGACTTCCGAGACAAATCAAACATAGCACAGCTCTGCATTCCACTGGTCTCAAAAGCGGAAGATCTGGGAATGCCACCACGCCCTTCTTAACAGTGATCCAGCTATAAGTTGGCAAACCTGTTGATTAGCTAATTGTTGTGCTGAGAAACTATGTAAACCAAAACAGAGGTGTTGTCAAGATGCTGAAACATCTTGGGACTCAGACCAGAATAGTTTGCTTTTCTCATGTCAAAGCTCTGTCCACATTTAGAGGAATATTTTTGCAAATTTGGTAACTTTTTCTGGAGTGTTTGCAAGTTTTTTTTTTTTTTTTTTTTCTGGAAAAAAAATCTCCTGCTTAAAATATACACAGAACCCATAAATGATCATTCTTATTTTACGATTGAGAATAGACTTACTTGAGAAATCCCATGTCTTGATTTTTATAGACGATGGCCTAATAGTTCAGATTTTTAACAAAAGAGAAATCAATTTCAGCGAAGCATTGTGCCTCACATAATATCAGACTGCACAATAATGACTGATACTTGTGGACATGTTTGAGGCACAAGTTGACAGTACAGATAAATCTGAATGCGAAAGCTTATTTAACTCCGTTAGTTAGAAAACTTGTCTATTTTATTTATCACGCCGTGTTAGTAAAGTATTTTTTCTGGCACTACATTCCTGTTTAGTGGATGTAAATGCCTCATCAATACCATGGTCTCTTTGGCCTCTGATTTCTTAGTTATGCTTTTAGTAGGTGTTGTAAAGTCTTTGTCTCTGTTTGTCAGCCCCACCCTAAGGTTTTTACAGAAAGTCAGAGTCATGTGTCAACACTGCACCCCGGGCAATTTGGGTCACATGTTACTCGACTCTTTGATGATGTTAGGCAAGTTCGAAACACATTAATTGTCGTGTTTGGAAATGACACTTGCTGGATCGACGAGGCTGATTGAGGCTTGTGTTTTTTCTGTTGAGTTGAAGCTGGTACAACCTGTTTGTTTAGCTCGCAAAGTAACAACTGATTTATCACTGATTACAATCTTTAAAGTGATGATTGTGTGATATAATCAGGAATCAAGAGATAAGATGCTTCGAATAGAAAAGTGAAATTGAAATGAATAAGGAGACGGGCGGCTGTTACCTTCAGTGGTTTTGGGCGATGGGCAGGAACAAGATGGCTGAATATCACAGGACTGGCTGTAAACATCTTCATTGTAGTTTCACATTGATTCCTCTGGTTTCAAAAATTTAGCTGAAAGTGTAAATGTAAATCACAAAAGCAATGGCAACATTCTTTCAAGCTATGTTTCCTTATTTTTCTGGAATTTGTGATGTACATCAGATTAAATTGGCCTTCATTTAAGCAACACTGAATAGTTTGCTTAGATGAAGCAAACTATTATATTTATTTTTTGTTGCTGTTTACTTACAAATCAACATTAGCACAGTAGCACTGCAATCTGCTACAGGAAGTTAGAAAAGTAGCAGCTTAAAACACAGATGAGACATTTGGTCATTATATCTGGTTTATGACCTGTTCTTTTTCTTTGTAACCTTTTAAGTAAATAATATAGAATTGAATTTTAGTCGTTATCAGTGGTGTTGTTTCTCTATGTCAGCATTTATTATGATACATTTATTGGTATATTTCCCACAGCGCCGTCTGGAAAAAGTGTCTTCCTACAATTTTTTAAAAGGTTTTTAAAGGCTTTTATTGAGTAACAATAATCTGAGAGACCCATTAACACACCGACAATATTAGACTGATTCGTCTTAGATTTGGTTATGAGTGGAAGTCTAAGTATCCTATTCCTCAAGTTCCTCTGCTTTGCATTTGCAGTCATCTCCTTGCATCTGTTTTGTTGTGCAGACAACAAGGGCATCCTCGCTCTAATGAAGTGTGGCCCCTTTAGGGCGGCATTGCTGCACCGCTCCAGTTCAGGATGTAGGTCAAGAGAGGTTCAGACAAAGTTAAATTCATCTCTGAAACAGTCTGCCTGGACCATTAATCCTGTGTAATGCTGCATAAACTGTGCGACTGAATGAAAACGTGTAGCTCTGTGTGTGAGCACAGCGGCGTTGTGGCAGGAAGGGAACGGGCTCTAATCCTCTTTTGGCTCTGTCACTTTTCCTGCTGGGTGTTTCAACTCATCTTCTCGTTTCCATGTTTGTGCTGCTGATTAAAGAAAATGTCTGGGTTTCTCACTAGTGTCTTTGCTCGTATCCGGCGATACGGTTTTGCTCCGGCAGGCACTGCAAAGGAGACAGAATACTTATTCAAAGATGGCAATGGATGAAAATCTGAGATATCATGAGACAGATTTCTGATCTTTATCTAACTACATCAGATAAAAGAAAATTGTTTTTATTATTTGTTTCTATATGGTATTCAAGCTGCAAGTGACAGGATAGAAGGAATTGTGGCAACGTCGTCTGTCAGCTTTGGTGATTGAGGAGAACACAAGAAATAGTTTTCGTTTTTTTTAAAACAGCATGCATGTCATTAATGGCTTCATTTCCTGTTTTCTTTGTCACATTCCAGACTGTAGGAAGAAACAGTGACTGAATGATTAATTGATGAGCAAGTGGCCAGTGATTGTTTTTTTTTTTTGTACGCTGTTTATTTCTGGGTTATTTCTCTCTGCCTCCATTGGATGAAACCTGAGGAGCGACCTCGTAAAACCAGCCTTGCATGTCAGGTTTTATTCGATTGCAGGAGGAGGGATGTGGTTTCCCTGCAGTTCTCCACAAGATCACAGTCTTGCGCTCTTGTCTGTGACACAGCCGGAGCCAAAAGCCGAACGGTTCGGCGCTACGATTAATCAAGAAAGGGCACATTTTTACTCCTCACAATGGGACAGTTTTGGTCCCGCTTCAATATAAAGAACATTGTAAGTTCATATCCAAAACTGTGTAAGCCGGTGTTTTGCGAGGCAGTTTGATAAACGCGTATCATATTTACTGTAAGCTGTATGATAGTTCAGAGAAGCAAACAGTTCAGAGAAGCAAAATCTGGGTTTGGAATTATAGGCCATTTAGGCAAGTTTTTAATTGTGAAGAAATCAGGGGGAAATGTGAGCTTGACATGGTTTAGACTCACCGTTTAGCTCTTTTACGACGTGCTGTGTTTAAAGCTTTTTGGAAAAAGTTGTGTAATGTCTCATATTTTTTCTCTACTGTAAATGTTCCTTAAATCACGTGACAAATGACTCATGACTAAAAGAATGAGATTCATGCTGCTGAAATGTTCTTCAATTTGTATCTTACTCTGATTTTTAAGTATTTTATTCCGTTTATTTTAAGATTTTATTCATCGTGTTGCTTTTTTGGAGCACGACGGTCAAATCCAGCCATTCTTAGGTACATCATAAATAAAGTTGGCTTTTCTTGTCTGCAGGATGTTACCACTCATCCTTGGGGATGGAATGAGGAATTATAAAAAGCTAGAACTGAATGTTACTTTTGAGTTAAATCTAAACTGTAAAACAGGTTCTTCAAGATGTTGACTCAACCCTGACCCAACTGGAAATCCAGCCTGAGTTACGAGTGCTTATTGCTTCATAAAATATATATTTACTTAACTTATCTTCCTTCCTCTTGAAATAACTCCAAATAATTCCCCCTCCTAAGGCACACGAGACATAAAAAGCTTCTTCTCTGTTATTGTTGCAAATTTACAGGATAAAACCAGT